TTCCATTTACCTAGTCCCACCGCCGTGTGGGTCCTGTGTTACCGTTTCATCCTAAAGTGACAACTGGTCGTGCTTGCACCGGTTGATCCATCACTTTAGAATTCTCCAGTGTCGCGTTGTTTCACCAGTGCGTCGTTGTCCCCAGTGTGTGGTTTGGTCGTCGCGTATGTCCCTCGAGTCGTCGTATCGTCTATATCCTTGCATTTATCATTTCCATCGTACGCATCATATTAGATTCATGGCACTGTTAAGCATTATAATTCGTCTCGTTTCGTCCGTAGCATTGCATGTCGCTGCATCTAAGGGCAAAATTTCTGGTTATCTGTATTTAAATCTCGTTCACCATGATTTCTCGAACCTTCGTCGCTCAAATCGTCCGGTGAAAGCTATTTAAATAGGGGCAATTGTCATACCTCAAATTTTACCCTTAGATTATTATGGTCATTTCGCATTTCATTTCATTCTGCATTACGTTTAACTAACTGCTAACCGGTTTGTTCAATATGTTGCTGTTGCAGGAAAATAACGTTGGGTGCGCTTTAATTTATGAAGGGCAGAAGGGTCGTTATCATAAACCATATGGATTTAAGGGCGCTGAAATGTAATTGAATTTAGGTTGAATCAGTGCGAGAATCGGCGGCAAGGAATTTATTCTGGCCAGAGCACAATTTCTTGCTTTCTGCTACCTACTAGTCGATTTTTAAAGAAAATAATGGAATTTTGGTGCGCGTTGAATTTATAATGAATATCTGTTGTTTTGATCATGATTGTTAGTTGAGCTGATTCAGGTTACCAAGTTAAATCATTCGAGAGGCAGTTTGAATTTTCAATACAGAAAACATTTTGATTTGTTGTTTAACTGAATTTCTCTACTTATCTGTTCGAGGTCATATTCATTGACTTTATTATCGGGATGATTAATTGTCAAATTCAGAGTTTGGAACGCCGAAGCATAATCGGATAATTTTCATTGGATGGATTTAATCAGTTGAATTTATGGAGATTGGACGAATTTAATCGGACGAATTCATTTAGACGAATTTATTTGAAGGAGCTTAACCGATTAAATTTAATTAAATGAAGTTAGTTGTTTGAGTTTATTTGGAGGAATTTAGTCAGATAAAGTTAATTAAATGAATTTGTTCGTTTAAGTTTAATCAGATGAGTTATTTGGAGATTTTTATCGGAGGAGTTGAATCGAGAAATAAAATCGGTCCATTGAAAGTGGGATTTATTTATTTAAATTTCTATATTTTCTACAAAGTACAGGAAGTAATTGGAAAATTGAATTTATTTATTAAATTCTATTTTTACAAAAGAAATTACAAAAATAAATTCCTAAGTACTAAAATCATATTTGCTCTAAAAGTGTCTTCACGACCGTTTCTTCGACTTTTATCCGTCCAAACCTGCACAAAAGAAATCGACAAGGAAAATAGTGTTAAAGTTAGAATTAATTAAAGTTGGTTTTTCGGTCCCGATACTCTCAGTTAACTATCATCATCGGGTACGTCAGGAGGGTAACAGAATATTTCGCCGCCAGCTCCCGACTCTATTTCTGACCCCGGCACGGATCCAGAAGATTTCTGTTCTAATTGTTCCAAGAGAGAGAAAAGTGATTTTTTGGAAAAGTGATTCTGAAAAAAGTGCTTTTGGAAAAAGCACTTATTTCCAAAAATGTTTTTTGCCAAATAGGGCCTAAATAGCATTTCCCAAAAATTTCTAACCCACAAACGGATCAAATCACACGCAAGCAACCACAATTCCCGTAAAATCCTGTAACCACATCAAAACAACCTTTTTCAAAATCACTGCAACTCAAAAAAACGTAGCAGCAGTAACAATTTTCGCAACAACGAATTCTTAAAATTCGTAGCCACAATAACAAATTCAGCAGAAAAAATCATGGATCCAAGCCCACAAATTAAGAACAATATAAGTTCACCATCATAAATCATAAAAAGGGACGAAGTTCAAGAACCCTAAAGAGGATCACCAAACAGCGGCAAGAACGGGAAGAGATCAAACCATCATCATCGTTCACTCTCACAGAACTACATCAAGGATCTAAAACCGCTACACATCAACGGATAGTCCACCGCAAACTCAGACAGAGGTTCCTCGTCATCATCGTTCTTCCGGAAACACACCACCGCCGCCATCTTCGCATGCAACAGCAACTCAATATCACCGTCTCAACCTCATCATCATCATCATCATCATCATCATCAGGAGAAGAGAGAATAAGAGGGAGATTCACCAACATCACTGCGTCAATAGGCAAGAGGGTAAGCTCTTTAACATATTTGTTTTTATTTTTTTTCAGTGGCACAAATGCAAAGAAGAGGAAAAGCTCAAGGCATGCAACCATGGAGGCCGCCACCGGCAAGCAGGAAGGAGAAGAAGACGTAAAACATGAAAATCTAAAATGACTCAGCCAACTCACCCTCCCCTTTTTATTCTTTTGTCTTTCTATTTTCTTGTTTTCTTTTTCTTTTTATTTCCTCACTTATTTCTTTATTTATTTTTAGATTCACGGTGTAATAACTGTAAGTTAAAAATACCTTTAATTAAAATTAGACCCATTTTTATTATTAAGTTATTCTTTAAAAGTGAAAACCATTTTTTAAACCATCTTAAATCTTTTCTAATTAAAACCCTCTTTTAGTGAATTAAAATTAAACCATTCTTTTAATTAAAAATATATTTTCAAATTAAAACATTTTTTCCTAATTAAAACTTTTTTCTAATTAAAACTATTTTTAAAGTTAAAGTCAATTTTAAACCATTAAAACATTTTTAAAAGAATTTTAATATTCATAAATTGAAAACATTTTATTAATTTAAAAGCCACATTTTACTAGCTTAGAATTAGAACCATTTTTTTTTTTTGTAAATTCTTCAATGCACTTCAAGTGTTTCTTAAAATGCGGCGAACATCTCGATTTCGGCTTGCGAATTAATATTGCCCGCTAATTGCCCTGTCAAAGTTATATAACGCTTATGTCGTTCTTCCACTGTTTCCCAGTTGTATAATTGCTAAATCCCCTGTACCTTTTGCATTTCCATTTTTGGATTGTAATTTACGCGAGGATATCGTCGCTTTGCCTTTTTTACTATTTTCATACTTTCCTATATTTCATTTCTGCCATGTAACTAATTCATCATTTGCACTATTCACCAATAATTCCTTCCGAAGGAATAGGTCTATCCGTTTGACCGCCGCGACCATAGTCCTTACCTTTGACCCGTTCACATTCCAAACCCTACTTGCCTAGGCGTCCCGTCGTGGACTAAATTACCCTCTACCCTAGCATTAGGTTAAGGAGTCTTCGTACTTCGTATTAGGTTTCGCGCCGTGGAATACCCATTTTACCCTTTTTTCAATTCAACTTTACAACCTAGAGAATTCAAGTCGCCGTACTCATATTTTTAGGCGTCCCGCCGTGGACAAGTTTACCTTTTACCCTAGCATTAGGATAAGAAGTCGTCGTACTCCATGATTACGTTTTCCGCCGTGGAATATTTTATACCTTTTCTAACTCAACTATTTCAACGTAGAAATAGGAGTCGCCGCACTCCACGTAAGCGCTTCCTTAAGAACGCTTATTCTCCATTAAAACCTTGACCACAGTCAAGAAGTTTCTCTTCCTCCCTTTCGAGGGGAACTACGATTACTCTGATTTCATCCCCTACCTCGGATACGTAGGCACAAGATGCGAATCTTGACGAGTAAACTTAGGACTAACCCTTAGGTCTCTCTTTCACTTCTAACCCTTAGTATATACCCTCAAGCAAATAATCAAGCAAAATAGTAAACTTTAAACAAGAGGTTCATGTAGAGTACTACAAAAGTTTAGGGTGCTAATACCTTCCCTAAGTTTAACCAACCCCTTATCTAGATCTCTCCCTGCATTGTGTTTACGATGCAAAATTAGGTTTTTTCTTTCTTTAACCTTTCCTTCGGATAAATCAAAGACCGGTTGTGAATTAAAGATGTGATTCAAATTAATCAATAATTTGATATCCTATTCTCACCGCAATAGTTAGCATATAACAGTTAGCATTATTAAATAAGACATAGCAGACAATAACAATAAACATACCACAAAGTTTCTGCATCCCCAAAATAACTTTCCAAAATTTCGTCCTATCTTTCTCATTGTTCATATGGCTGCAGTTGCTCCACAAGCACACCTAGGTTTGATTTCCCCATGAATTGCACTCGAAATCAAGGAATTATAGTTGGGACTGCATGAATTTGACAAGTTTGTACCGTATGAAGCCATTGTTGGAAAAAGGGGAAGAAGAACTCGGTTGGGAGATGATGACGGGTTCTAGGGATTTAATGAAAAAGAAAGTGATTTTTTTCCAATTACTTAAAATAATATCCAAGTAAATGTCATCTCAGCAACGTTATATCCACATAAACACTGTTATCGACAGTTGTGCATTTTTAGAACCAAATCGTTAAAAAAGATCAACGATATAGACGTTATATAACTTAAAGGATTAACTTGTAGTAAAAAAGAAACACAGAACCAACATGTTACAATTAATTATCATAAAAGATCTCTGATATGATTTTGTCTATCATATGCGACTTGTTTTATTTCAAAAAATACGAGATGTAATTTATAAATTTAAAAAGACGTTGATATAATTTGAAAAATATTTAACGCTAATTAATATAAAAAAGCAGGACATTAATATTTGTTATCGATAATTATAACAAAAATGAAATACTAAAAAAATCAAAAACAAATATTTTTCATTGCCACTATTTAAAAAAGCAGGACAAACATTTATCATTATACATTATAAATATTTGATACATCATTAACCTTAATTTGTACTTCAAACTTCTGTGCTTTTGTGATGAATGTATAATAACATGCAACTTTATTCGCTCTATATATAACCTGAGTATATAGCAAAAATATATAAACCTATAATCTACAAAAGAAAGAAGATGAGGTAAAACTATCTGTAACAAAGAATTATTTTGATTTGGATGAACACTTGGAAGGTATATAACTACCATTCAAGGGTCGAAACTTAAGGTAACAATTCAAATGACAAGAATATTTCACAGAACCAAAAGGCCCTACCTTCCACCTAGTCCTACCAGCACCTTTAAAATCAAAACCAATTTCATTTCTTTTCCAAGACTCGTCAACTTTCTCCATTTGATCCGGCGTCAACGGTATCGATGATGACTGAACAACATATCGAAGAACATTCGAACTGTTCTTCGGCACATCAAACGAATCGGCAACAAGCACTGCAATTCCTTGACCTTGAAAGCTAAGACTAAATGTCATCTTAGAAAATTTCGCATGAGCTTTTGCATTTCCATTGTAAGCAGTCACAACAATGCTTAACTGAGTTTGAAGTAAACCAGCATAATCATTTCTTAGAAGATCTAAATGAGCATTGGTGACGCTGATTGTAGGCACTCTTGGATGGATCATTATGTAACCAATGAACATCATAATGCCAGTAACAATCACAGCGATAGCAAAAATTGTGCAGATTATAGCTGCTAACCAAACTAATGGGTTGGTGTGGCCACCAGAATCCATTACAGGTTTTCTCTTGAATGCAACCATAGTGTACAATAGTAGTGATAGTAACAATAAAGAAATGACATTAAAATTTGAGAGACTAATATATATCTATATATAGTTCCATATTTTTTTTCAAATTTATGATGTTGAAAAAGGGTACAAAGTTTTTCTTGAGAATCTTAACAGAGAATTTAACCTCTTTTGGTTATAATTGGCTTGAAGGTTTGGTATCATCCTTTGCTTGTAAAGCATTTGATTTATATATATAGTTGCACGTACGGTTTAAGCTTCTAAAGAACAAAGAATCTTAGCCACTGTTTAACTTGTAAAAAGTAAAATACCAAACTTGCATTACTCAAGGGTATAATTCAACAAAAATTCGAATCACAATCGGTCCTATCTATAGAAGAATCGTGCTTTTAATCACAAGCTTGTCATGCAAACTCATCACTCAAGACACTTTACGCGTGTCATATGACAATTGTAAAACAAATGCATTAAAGTTACAAGGAACTAAGATTCGTAAGTATGAAAACCAAAAAACACAGCTTTTGTAGCAGAACCAATTATCTGTCCAATATTTGAGAGAATTTTCAGAGCTTACAGTCACAGTAAAGGAAGAATAATTTACATGATCTGAAAATGTAAAAGGGATTGTTGCACAAATTCTTTGTAATACACAAAAGAACTGCTGTTATTGCAGGCATTGGAAGAACATTTCTGGTAAAGCAACATCAGAAAGTAATTTTGAAAAACACCAAAAACTGAAACTGAGACACTGATACACCTGAAAGCTAATTAGCTAAGGTAAAGTGCAATCACTTTTAAAATAAAAACTGAACACAATAGAATTGCCAAACATAGGAAACAGACAACTAAGAATCACTGCCTTCTTTGCATGTGTATCCAAATGCTTCAATGAAAAATACAAAAAATGCGACTTCCACAACCAATAGTCCAATACATCTGCCGCAACAAGCAGAATATCAAATCATTGTCCTGTGCAGGGTGTGATACTATTAATGATAAAATAAAGAGTTGGTGTATTGCTTCGTGAAATATAACATCAAAATTTTTCACAAAATAATTATAAACCAAATATTCCAAGTCCTCTGATAAACACTCAAATCGCGGGAACACTCCCTTGAAAGCTAGATAGGGGAATTACCAAACAACTTAAATACTTTACAAGCATCTTAGACAACTTGATGTGAAACTTATCACTAATATACCTTAACTACTAATTAAATTGGTCTCTCAGACACCGCAGAATGACAAATCGCATCTATCACTTCAACCTTCATATGAAGGTCAAAATAACAAAGGGGAAAAATAAATCCATAAAACATTGTAGACGCTGAACGCGACTATTGCCATCACAGAAGAAGTTGCTGTCGCCATAAAATTTGTTGTTGTCTGAAAAAGTGAAAAGGTGCGGCGCTTGGTTGAGTGTCATCGTCACAATGGTTTGTCTTCTCACTTGAAAGAGAGAGGCAGAACAGAATTCTGTGTTTAGATTTGAATGAGTGGGAAGAGTAGTAAACATATTATAGTGAAACTAACAAATAACTCCCGTAAAAAATAAAAATAAAAACAAATAATATCAAAGTAAAAGCAGGGTATTGTGAATTGTGTCCAAAAATAGCATGGTGTTGTGAACCCTATCATATATGCAGTTGCGAAACCAACCGCTTTCGTCACAACTGTTGAACGCATGTAGTCGTGAAAGCACGTCGCAGCGGAGCCCAAAACTGCTCCACAAAACTACTATAACATTGCTCTACGAGACCGCTATTGCATGTGATCACGATGCTATTGCCATCATGGTACATGAAGGGTGTCTTTCCTTACAAAATAAAGACTTGTCTGAGCAAGACATGTCTCTCCATTCCAATTATAATGAAATTGTCATTCTATGTGCAAAACTGACCAAAATAGTGTAACAAAAAACATACCATGACCGAGTAAGATATATTTCTCCTTTTATAATGCATAGGTAAATAAAAACACCTCACTAGACAGAGCTTTATCATTTAACTCTCCAGTTTGGAAGATTGCAGTGGTCCATCAAACTATGGCCTCCTCAACACCACCATCAACGCATTGACATCCATAATCGAAGTATAAAACATGACAGAAATAGCAAGATGAACGTGCATTCAAGCCTTTATGCATTATAAAAAATTTAAGTAGGAAAATGGAACAAGCAGAATCAAGTTGCAGCTTTATGGGTGTACTAACTTTCATGAAAAGCCCAAAAAATAACTGCTTGTACCAGAAAATATGAACCATAAATCAGGGAGATGTTGCTGGGACGGCTGACAATCATAAACTCAAACAATAGAGGTATTTGCAGAAAACTTTGAGGTTATAATATTTGTTTTATTGTATGAAAATAATTCTGTTATGAGCACTTAACTCTAAAAAACTGCATGCAAATCAGCTACAAGCCCTACAATTCATGAACAGCAACTTCGTCTCAAATAGCAGAGTGTGACCAACCTCACAAATATCAAAATAATATTTTATAAGGAGAAGACAATGAATTATACAGAAAAGAAACCTGGTACGACAAAAGGTTGTCAAGGAAATTCTACCATGGACTTGGAATGATAAAATTTTTAGAACATTGTTTACAGGGCAAAGCCAAGTCAAGAACAAGTAAAATCCGCTTGTCTCTGACACAATAGACACTAGCAGTTAAGTGTAAAACTATTAAAACATGAAGGAAAGAAAAAGAATTCTAGATTACAACTTGACTTGAGCTTTCCATCTCCTGTAAAGAGTATCAAATTTGTCTCTTGCACTTCTACCATCCTTGCGGAACACTTCCTTCAACTTGGTCATTGTAGATTCATATAAGACGATCCTTTTATCAAGCATTTCTTCTGCAAACCTTCTCACCTCTGACAATCTACCTAATTTACAAAGACCAATGAGCAAGATATTTGCACTCACCTCAAGTACCCCGACATGGGTTTCAACCATGTAATTCCAAATCTCAAGTGCTGCATCAGGGTCATCACAATCAAAAAACAATTCGATGGCCACAGCACAATTAGAACCTGTGGGCAGCCACTCATTCTTGATCATCTCGGCAAAGAACCTCTCCGTTTCACGAACCTTTTTGTTCTTCACCAAGCACTCAAAAATCATGTTATATGTCAAAGAGTCGGGAAAAGCTCCATGGAGAACCATCTCATCGAGCAGGCGAAACGCGTGATCAATCTCGCCATTGTTGCAAAGCAACCCAATCATGGCATTGTACATGATCAAGTTAGGCAATAAGCCACTAACAACCATGACATCCCACAAAGGGATAGCATGAACAGCATCATTTCGCTTAACAAGCACATCAAGAGCATTGGTAAAGAATTTCAAACCTGGAAAGCAGTCATTATCCTTCAGAACTTTAAGAAACGTCACAACCTCATCAAACTGCAAAGCTCGAAGGAGAGTCATCAAAAACGCATCGTAAGCCGCTACATTATCCTGACTCCAACCAATGCTAATCACCATCTCACCAAAAGTACTCTTAGCTTTAGCAGGATTCCCTTCCTTCTCCCATCCTTCCAATAATATCGCAAAACTATCCCCATCCAAATCAACCTTCCCCTTAACCTTCTCCAAAAACTCCACACCCGCCGAAGTCTGATTCTCCTCGCGACAAATTGCACTAAGCAACGAATTAACCGCCACAACATTCTTCTCAACCTCATACCTATCCATCACATCAAAACTCATAACAGCCTCATTAACCCTCCCAGCCATACAATAACTCTGAAAAACCGAAACAAAGGTGGGCAAAGATAGCACACTTTCCTGCTTCATTGTCCTAACAGCATCCCACATGGGCTCGAAAAGCTGATTCCGGCCCAATAAATCAACCATCAAGTTCCAAGCGTGAGCAGAGTGTTTTCTCAAACTCCCGGCCCACCGGAAAAACTTGATGGCCGAAGAAGGGTAATTATAAGAAAGCTTAAGAACCTCATGAACACATTCTTCAGAAGGATGAATCCCAGAAGAGGATAAAGCGGAATCAATCTCCTGAGGGGATGTTCGGGTGAGTAGATTGCAAAGGGTTCGAGCTGTTGATGATACGTTTGGGGTATCAAGATGAGGTGAATGATTAGGTTTAGCAATTGGGGTTGACTGTCTGTTAGGGTTTTTCGATGGATATTTCGCAGCTTTTGTTCTAGGGTTTTTTGAGACTGGTTCCATGATGAAATTGATGAATTAACTGAAAATTAATGGGTTTGGAACAGAGCGATGAATGTTGAAAACTGAATCAACATAAAAATAAGTGGTTTTTTGAATTGGTGAAATGTGAAATTGAGTGGAGAAAAATTGAAGTACCTGATGAGAGTGCGGTTTTGGTTGATCAAGTTCAGTTGAGTGATGAGTCACGGGAAGAAATTGAGAGACGTGCGTGCGTGCGTGGATGGAGATTGGAATTGATGAGTTTTCATGCCCAGAAACATGTTCTTAGATTTATCTGGCCCAAAACTAAAATTGCCTATATTAACATAAAATTTGAAATTTTCTTATGAATTAACTTTTTTTTTTTAATTGTTGTTGTTTTTTTTACCAGAGTAGATTATCCATAATAGATATCATATATATCTACCATATAAATCTTTATTTTGCCCTTTTGTTCCCACAAACAAGCACGTGGGTAGTCTTATAAATTTTCAGTTTATGTTTTGTTAAATCGTTTATAAATCTGTTTGGCTATATGTATCAGAAACCTGTTCTGCTACTCTCTCCTTCTCTTTTGTCCTTTCTCTCTATCTTCTTCTTCCTTTTCCTTTTTCGTCTACTTTCTCCCTCTTTTTCTTCCTTTTTCTTCTTCTTTGCGATATCGTTAAAATTCTTTCAATAACAAATTTAGATTCTTACTCGGTAACACCTCCCTAACGAAATTCTAACCGAAGCCAATAAAGCTATCGATCCCGATTCTACAGATGTGATTTTGTATCTTTGCAAAGCTACAAATGTCTTTGTTTTGTCATTTCGTATTTGACTTTTTGTTGTTGTTTTTC